TCCTCTCCTTCTCCTCCAGAGTCTCAACCTTACCTTCATCCTGCTCTTACTACCCCTATCCTCCTCACCTTGAGCTTTTCACCTTCTTCATTCTCAGAACATCTTCCCCTCTCTCCTTTTCTCCCCTATACCCCCTTCCAGTTCCTACCCATCCCCCCCTACCCTTCCTCATTTCCAAATATATGCACCTCCTGCCCTCTGTGACCCCATCTCTCTCTCTCTCTCTCTCACCATTGTAAATCCTTTCATACCTTCGAAATGATTGTAATCATGTATACTAGTGTAAATGGTTCATTACCTTTGTAACTTGCCATGATTGTGACCAGATCTACCTGGAGTTCATTACCTTTGTAACTAGTTCAGCTATCATAACTTTGAGGCCCAGTCCCTGGACCCATTATGTACGTCTGTAATCTTTGACTACCGCCCACAGGATGGGTATGGGGTGAGTACCGCCCACAGGATGGGTATGGTGTGACTACCGCCCACAGGATGGGTATGGTGTGACTACCGCCCACAAGATGGGTATGGTGTGACTACCGCCCACAGGATGGGTATGGTGTGACTACCGCCCACAAGATGGGTATGGTGTGACTACCGCCCACAGGATGGGTATGGTGTGACTACCGCCCACAGGAAGGGTATGATGTGACTACCGCCCACAGGATGGGTATGGTGTGACTACCGCCCACAAGATGGGTATGGTGTGACTACCGCCCACAGGATGGGTATGGGGTGACTACCGCCCACAGGATGGGTATGGTGTGACTACCGCCCACAGGATGGGTATGGTGTGACTACCGCCCACAGGAAGGGTATGGTGTGACTACCGCCCACAGGATGGGTATGGTGTGACTACCGCCCACAAGATGGGTATGGTGTGACTACCGCCCACAGGATGGGTATGGGGTGACTACCGCCCACAGGATGGGTATGGTGTGACTACCGCCCACAGGATGGGTATGGGGTGACTACCGCCCACAGGATGGGTATGGTGTGACTACCGCCCACAGGATGGGTATGGGGTGACTACCGCCCACAGGATGGGTATGGTGTGACTACCGCCCACAGGATGGGTATGGGGTGACTACCGCCCACAGGATGGGTATGGTGTGACTACCGCCCACAGGATGGGTATGGTGTGACTACCGCCCACAGGATGGGTATGGTGTGACTACCGCCCACAGGATGGGTATGGTGTGACTACCGCCCACAGGATGGGTACGGGGTGCACAATAAACATATTAAACCAAACTTAACCTTCTAAAATCACCTTTAAAGTTGAACGAAACTTCAGAGGCGCGGCCAGGAGTCAAGCCTCGCCCCTGTCAACACAAGTACTGGAATACTGGCGAGAACACACTCCTTTCTAGATAAGATAAGATAAGATTTCGTTGGGATTTTTAACCCCGGGGGGTTAGCCACCCAGGATAACCCAAGAAAGTCAGTGCGTCATCGAGGACTGTCTAACTTATTTCCATTGTGGTCCTTAATCTTGTCCCCCAGGATGCGACCCACACCAGTCGACTAACACCCAGGTACCTATTTGCTGCTAGGTGAACAGGACAACAGGTGTAAGGAAACGTGTCGAAATGTTTCCACCCGCCGGGAATCGAACCCGGGCCCTCCGTGTGTGAAGCGGGAGCTTTAGCCACCATGACGGCAGCACATGATGTAGTGTATACTCATGCACACACATGAAGTGTAAACACACGCAGACATGTAGTGTAGACACGCAAATGTGTAGCGAATATACAAGCACACATGAATACACACGTGCACACATGTTAACAGGTGGTATTATATTATGCAGCGGTCTATGTATATTTCTTGAAGCACATTTCAATGTTTTTTTTACTGCGACACTTGTGGTGAGTCATGGTAGGGGAAAACTTGACTCTACAAGTGAGAAAGAGAGCGAGCGAGAGAAAGAAAGCATGGAAAGTGCCTCTGGTGCGGTGAAAGGAGCGGAGGTGACAGCGGTGATAGTGATAGCAACAGTAGGAAAATATGTTACTACAAATGCTGTAGTTGTTGTAAGGTAGTTATTACATGGTACACAATAATCAGTACAGGGTACAAGGTAACTAGTACAGGGCCTCCCACCACTGGTGATACATCTACATGTAATCGTTAATTTAGACGTCATACACAAGGCACAAGACATGAAGAAGAAGTCAGACGGGACTCCTCTACCTGGGGAGCCAAGGCCAGGTCACCGCAATATAAAAATAGTATACAATACCGACAGGTTGATAAGACACATCTGCAACACTTAGGTATCTTGATTCCGAAACGTTTCGCCTACACAGTAGGCTTCTTCTGTCCAGTACAGAAGAGGCAGCAGAAGCAGAAGAGATGTGAAGACGATGTAAACAGTCCATCACCCTTAAAGACGTAGTTTTGGGGTGATCAGTCCCCCAGCTGAGGGGCTGTGTGTACTCACCTATTTGTACTCACCTATTTGTGGTTGCAGGAGTCGAGTCCTAGCTCCTGGCCCCGCCTCTTCACCGGTTGCTACTAGGTCCTCTCTCTCCCCGCTCCATGAGCTTTATCAAACCTCGTCTTAAAACTGTGTATGGTTCCTGCCTCACTACATCATTTTCTAGGCTATTCCACTGCCTTACAACTCTATGACTGAAGAAATACTTCCTACTATCTCTCTGACTCATTTGTGTCTTCAACTTCCAATTGTGGCCTCTTGTTTCTGTGTCCCCTCCCTGGAACATCCTGTCCTTGTCCACCTTGTCTATTCCACGCAGTATTTTATATGTCGTTATCATGTCTCCCCTGACCCTCCTGTCCTCCAGTGTCGTCAGGCCGATTTCCCTTAATCTTTCTTCATAGGACATTCCCCTTAGCTCTGGAACTAACCTTGTCGCAAACCTTTGTACTTTCTCTAGTTTCTTGACGTGCTTTATCAAGTGCGGGTTCCAAACAGGTGCTGCATACTCCAGTATGGGCCTGACATACACGGTGTACAGTGTCTTGAATGATTCCTTACTAAGGTATCGGAATGCTGTTCTCAGGTTTGCCAGGCGCCCATATGCTGCAGCAGTTATCTGATTGATGTGTGCTTCCGGAGACATGCGTGTGCGTGTGTGTGTGTCTGTATGTCTGTACGCATACTAATTGAGCTGTTTTCGCAGGAGTGGTGGGGGAGTTAAGTCTCAGCTCCTGGCCCTGCCTCCTAAGCAACACTCCACCAGATTCTTGGTGCCTTGCCTGGAGGTGCAGGCAGTGTAACTGTACGGGGTTAGTAACTGTGAATCTCTGTATTCCTGGGACAACTGAAGTAACCAGGTCACACTCTAGCTTACTAGCTCTAAATAACACGAAAGGCCTAGAGTTATTATTCAACTAGAGTTTGGACAACACTAACTCTACTCCTGTTGCACTTCTTTGCTTCGTCAGCAGCTCCGCAATGTTGCAAAACCTTGCATCAGGTAGGTTGAAAGATTCTCTCATGTGTCAGCATGTGTTTCACGCATGACCCGTCATGGCCCATCATGGCCAGTCATGGCCAGTCATGGCTCATCATGGCTGTTGCAACTCTTGTAACATTGCATAGCTCCTGACGAAGCAGGAAAGTGCGAAAGGTCTAGACCTAGTGTTCCAGAGATGTGACACAGCAACAAGGGATCACAACTGGAGGCTGAAGACTCAGATAAACTACAGGGATGTTAGGAAGTATTTCTTCAGCCATAGTTGTTAGGAAGTGCAATAGTCTGGAAAGTGACGTAGAAGCAGGATCCATACATAGCTTTAAGAAGAGGTATGCTAAAGCTCATAGAGCAGGGAGAGAGTGGACCTAGTGACGACCGGTGAAGAGGCGGGGCCAAGAGCTATGAATCGACCCCTTCAACCACAATTAGGTGACTATACATACATATATATATATATATATATATATATATATATATATATATATATATATATAATATATATATATATATATATATATATATATATATTATATATATAAGAACATAAGAAAGGAGGAACACTGCAGCAGGCCTGTTGGCCCATACTAGGCAGGTCCTTTACAATTCATCCCACTAACAAACATTTGACCAACCCAATTTTCAATGCTACCCAAGAAATATATATATATATATATATATATATATATATATATATATATATATATATATATATATATATATATATATATATATATATATATATATATATATATGTGTGTGTGTGTGTGTGTGTGTGTGTGTGTGTGTGTGTGTGTGTGTGTGTGTGTGTGTGTGTGTGTGTGTGTGTGTGTGTGTATAGACAGATATGTGCGTGTAAATTTATCATATACCGTGGTTGGAACAATTCACTACTGACCCCCAATACCGTGGCTGGAACAATTCACAACAGACCCACAATACCGTGGCTGGAACAATTCACAACAAACCCACAATACAGTGGCCGCAACAATTCACAACAGACCCACAATACCGTGGCTGGAACAATTCACAACAAACCCACAATACCGCGTCTTGAATATTGCACAACTAACGCACAATACTGTGGCTGGAACAACTTCCAACCCACGATTTCGTGACTGGAATCATTCACAAATGATCCACGATATCGTGACTGGAACAGTTCAAGACTGATCTACAATACCGTAGCTTCAACACATCTGAACTTCGCTTGGGAGAGATGTCTTGGAGCGACGTTTTTATCCATCGAATTGTTAATAATGGCTCAGAACGGACCGAAACATCGTCTAAGAAACCACAACCCTGTTAATGCTGGGTCAGGAAATCTATCGACAAGGGATTAAGAACAAAGAGTCACAATACCATGACTGGAACAATACACAAATAACCCGTACATAGGAGAGAGAAGATTATGGCGACGTGTTGCTCAAACTTGGACAATTTAAGTCCCACTTAAGGGATTAAGGTAAACTATCAATGTATATACACCGAGAGTTTACTGATACACTTCTCCGGGTATATATATTCTGTGTAAAGTAAGGTGATGTGATCTCTTACCAATCACCACGAAGACGGCCCAAGACACCATCGCTCTTCCCTGTCCAGCTGACGCCACAAGACAGTTGCTCCTGCACTTCCGTTGGGCTTTATATACTTGCGTGGCCTTCCAGCGCGCCTGCGCAGAATTACCCTTTGATTGCACCTTTGTACTCGCCTAGAGGCGCTTGCACATGTCGAGTCATACATCCTGGCAATATTTCTTAGTTACTGCCAGCTTTGCAGATTTCTTGATCCCTGGAACTAGATCGTACCTACTCTTAAAGCCTTGTAGGGTTCATATGGGCTCTCTACCTGCCATCTTCGAACCCTGACTCACTATCCTCGAGGTTCAAACAGCTTGAACCTAGTTTCTCTATCCAGTCTTCTGAGTATTTTGTATGTCGTGATTATATTTCTTAGGTCTTTCTATTTCTACGTTTGTTAGGGTTGGATTCCTTTATTTTATTATCATTATTATTATTATTATTATCATTATTATTATTATTATTATTATTATTATTATTATTATTATTATTATTATTATTATTATTATTATTCCCTTCATGTACGCAGTTTTAGTGACAAATTACAGTTGTAATTTGACTTTTGATTCAGCGCCAAGACTTTGCTTTTCTTTCTTCTTCTTCTTCTTCTACTTCTTCTTCTTCTTCTTCTTCTTCTTCTTCTTCTTCTTCTTCTTCTTCTTCTTCTTCTTCTTCTTCTTCTTCTTAACTTCATAAACCTCTGGTCACGATTTGTGATTTTTTTTATAGACTGTTATTGTATTGAGAGCTGACACTTTCCCCCAGTTACTGGGAGGGAAAGTGGCAGGGAGGGTGGGAGGGAAGGTGGGAGGGAAGGAGGGAGGGAAGGTGGCAGGGAAGGTGGGAGGGAAGGTGGGAGGGAAGGTGGCAGGGAGGGTGGGAGGGAAGGTGGGAGGGAAGGTGGGAGTGAAAGTGGCAGGGAGGGTGGGAGGGAAGGTGGGAGGGAAGGTGGGAGGGAAGGTGGGAGGGAAGGTGGGAGGGAAGGTGGGAGGGAAGGTGGGAGGGAAGGTGGCAGGGAAGGTGGGAGGGAAGGTGGGAGGGAAGGTGGGAGGGAAGGTGGGGGGGAAGGTGGGAGGGAAGGTGGGAGGGAAGTTGGGAGGGAAGGTGGGAGGGAAGGTGGGAGGGATAATAACAATACCAGTACATGATACAACTTATACAGACCATAGTTCACATCTGCTGACATACTACTATTATAGAAAGTCATGTTTATACTGAGCATTTCCGCAAATTACGAGTCAATCATTGACTCCCAGGATGCTGACCCACACAAGTTCACTAAACAACCAGGTACCTATTTCTACTGCTAGAAGTATGAACATAGGACAACAGGTGTCTTAGAAACACGTCCTAATGTTCCCACCGCTACCGCGAAGGATATGATTCCATGGACATCTCACGTGTTGTGAGCTGGATCGAGTGCCCTACCAAACCCAATACGGAACACCTATGGAAGATTTGACTAGAAAGGAAGGATTGAGCAAAGATATGACAGAGAGCGATGCATAAGAGCTAGAGAGAGAGAGAGATGAGTAGAGAGAGATGAGAGAGAGACGAGAGAGATTATGACTGAAGAGAACGAGAGAGAGAGAGTATGAGGATGAGAGTACGCAGAGGAGAGATAAGACGAGAGAGACGAGACGAGAGAGAGAGAGAGAGATTCGAGGGAGAGCGAGAGACTGTGAAGAAGAAGACGAGAGAAATGCAGAGAGAGGAGTCGAGAGGAGAAATGCAGAAGGAGAGAGAGAGAGAGATGAAAGAGAGGAGAGAGAAAGAGATTAGACTGAGATCAGATGAGAGAGAGAGGCGAGAAGACAGAGAGGAAGAACTAGAGACTTGACGAAAGAGGAAGACGATTTTGAGAAGAGAGCACCGGAGGAGAATGCCAGAGATAGGGAATTTCGAGAGATATGATGAGAGAGAGAGACAGACAGACAGACAGACTAGACAGACACACACACACACTCACACATATCACACACCACACACATCACAAACCACACACACACACACACACACACACACACACAACATTCACACAACACACACACATACACACACACACACACACACACACACACACACTACACACACAACACACACACACACAACACACACACACACACACCACACACACAAACACACACAGGGTGCGAACAAAGACTAGATAAGAATCTGATCATTGGAGAACAAACGCCAACACACAGATTAGGAACAACAGAAACAAACAAAGAACAGAGAAGAACAAACCGACAACGAACAGTATGAAATAATAGCAAAAATAATAACATCATAATAAGAACGTAATACCTACCCCCAGCGAGACAGGAGCCTTGCGACCGACCCCTTGCAACTACAAATAGTGGTGAGCACAGTTTCATGAGCACCAGTCACCTGTTGTCTTATCCAGTTATCATTGCAGCCCACCACGTCCCTGTTGTATTCTACCAGTTTCTGAGCGCCAGTCACTGTTGTTTACAGTTTGATGAGTACCATGTCTACCTGTTCGCTCCTACCAGTTTATGAGCCGCCAGTCGAGGTCACCTGTTTGCTCTACCAGTTTATGAGTAAGCCTAGCTCACCTGTTGCTCGACCAGTTTTATCGAAGCGACCAGTCCACCTGCTTGTCTACCAGTTTAGAGCGCCAGGTCAACATGTTGTCTACCAGTTTATGAGCGCCCCAGTCACCTCGTTGTCTACCAGTTTTATTAAGCGCATACAGTCACCCTTGTTGTTCTACAGATTTAATGGCACCAATCACTCGTTGTCTACCAGTTTATGAGCACCAGTCACCTGCTTGTCTACACAGTTTTTAATGAGCACAGTCACCTCGTTGCTCATACCAGTAAACATATAGCACAGTATCTGTTGTCTTACCAGTTTATTGAGCCACCACGTCACCTGTTGTCCTACCAGTTTATGAGTAGCAGTCGTCAACTGTTGTCTACCAGTTTATGAGCCCAACAGTAACTGTTGGTTCTACAGTTTTATGCAGCACCAGATCACCTGTTGATGCTAACAGTTTATGAGCGAACCAGTCAACTGTTGTACTACAGTTTATGAGTGCCTGTCAACTGTTGTCTACCTGATTTATTGAGCCACCAGTCAACCTTGTTTGTTACCAGTTTATGAGCACCATGTCACCTGTTGTCTACAGTTTATAGGCGCAAGTCAATTTGTTTTACTGTTCTATGAGCACAGTCAATGTTGTCTACCAGTTTATGAAGCGCCAGCACCTGTTGCACTTCTACCAAGTTTTATGAGCGACAGTCAATATGTGTCTACAGTTTATGAGCACCAAGTCACCTGTTGATTCATAACCAGTTTAGATGAGGCGCCCAGTCACTCTGAATTATCTAACCAGTTTATAGAAGGCCAGTCACCTGCACATTGTCTATGAAGTTTAATGAGCGCCCAGTCACCTGCCCTTGTCTACGCATTTATGAGACCACCTGCCTCACCTGTTGTCTTACCAGTTTATGAGCACCAAGTCATCTGTTGACTACCAGTTTATGAGCCACCAAGTCATCTGTTGCTCTACCTAGTTTATGAATAGCACCATGCTCACCTATTGCCTCTTCCCCGTTTATGAAGCACAGTCATTTCTGCTTATCTCACCACGTTTTTATGAGGGCGCCCAATCGTCACCTCGGTTGTCTAACAGTTTATGAGCACCAGTTAACTGTTGTCTACCAGTTTGATGAGCACCAAAAAAAACAGTCACTGTTGCATCTAACAGTTTATGCAGCACCAAGTCACCTGTCCCTTTTTGACTTTACCAGTCCCTTTATTTATTTGCCGCAACAGTCATCTGCTTGGCATTACAGCGTTATATGAGCTCACCACGATCACCTGTTGTCTACACAAACTCTGTTTATGCAGCACCAGTCACCTGTTCGTTCGTACTCAGTTTTATGCAGCCACTACAGTATCGTTGGTCTACCTGTTTATGAGCGCAGTCACCTGTTGTCTACCAGTTTATGAGCACCAGTCACTGTTTCTACCAGTTTATGAGCACAGCACCTGTTGCTCTACCAGTTTATGAGCACCAGTCACCTGTTGTTTACCAGTTTATGTGGAACCAGTCATCTGTTGTTACCAGTTTATGAGCACAGTCACCTGTAGTTTTCCAGTTTATGAGCACAGTCAACTGTTGTCTTCCAGTTTACGGAGCACCAGTCATCTGTTGTCTACCAGTTTATGAGCACCAGTCACCTGTTGTTCTACCAGTTTATGAGCACCAGTCATTGTTGTCTGCCAGTTTATGAGTCGCCAGTCACCTGTTTATTTACCAGTTTATGAGCACTAGTCACCGTTGTCTACGTTTATGGGCGCCAGTACCTGTTGTCTTACCAGTTTATGAGACGTATTGTTGTCTACCAGTTTATGAGCGCAATCACCTGTTGGGTTTTCTTTAAAACCCCCCCCCCGGGGGTGGGTTTTTAAGATGCACCAGTCACCTGTTGTCTACAGTTAATGAGCACCATCAACCTGTGCTGCCAGTTTATAAGCGCCAGTCTAACTCTTGTTTCCCTGTTTATGAGCACCAGTCTCCTGTTGTCTTACAGTTTATGAGCGGCCAGTCACTGTTGTCTACCAGTTTATGAGAGCCAGTCAAATTTGTCTACAGTTTATGGCACCAGTCACCTGTTGTCTACCAGTTTATGAGCGCCAGTCACTGTTATCTACCTGTTTATGAGCGCAGTCACTGTTGTCTTGAAGTTTATGAGCGACAGTCACTGCTGTCTACCGTTTATGGAGCTCCAGTCAACTGTTGTCTACAGTTATTGTGAACCAGTCATCTGTTTGTCTACCAGTTTATGAGCACCTGTTATTGTTGTCTTACCAGTTTATGAGCACCAGTCACCTGTTGTCTACCAGTTTATGGAGCACCAGTCATCTGTTGTTACCAGTTGATGAGCGGCAGTCACCTGTGGGTCTACAGTTTCTGAGCACCAGTCACCTGTTGTCTACCAGTTTATGAGCACCAGTCACCTGTTGTCTACCAGTTTATGATGCACTGGTCACCTGTGCTTACCAGTTTTTGCGCACCAAGTCATCTGTTGT